TACCATGCATGAATAAGATACCTTGCATGGGCTGAGATATAGATACCATGCATGGATAAGATACCTTGCATGGGGAAGGAGTCCAACAATGACTGGTGGCGTGGGAGGTCTGAGACTCGCAGAAGGGAGAGATCTCCCATAAGCATCATGGGGTTCCCAGCCATTCTAAGATAAACTCAAAATCCTTTAGTCTATAAACTCTAGTGATGGAAGACTACCTAAGGGAATCCTAGCAACTTGGGTACCTCCAGTCATAGCAACTTGGGTACCTCCAGTCATAGCAACTTGGGTACCTCCAGTCATAGCAACTTGGGTACCTCCAGAGGGTGAATGTGTCCAGAGGGCGCCACCGTGGGAGCCTCCAGGGAGAGGGCCACCGTGGGAGCCTCCAGGGAGAGGGCCACCGTGGGAGCCTCCAGGGAGAGGGCCACCGTGGGAGCCTCCAGGGAGAGGGCCACCGTGGGAGCCTTCAGGGAGAGGGCCACCGTGGGAGCCTCCAGGGAGAGGGCCACCGTGGGAGCCTCCAGGGAGAGGGCCACCGTGGGAGCCTTCAGGGAGAGGGCCACCGTGGGAGCCTCCAGGGAGAGGGCCACCGTGGGAGCCTCCAGGGAGAGGGCCACCGTGGGAGCCTTCAGGGAGAGGGCCACCGTGGGAGCCTCCAGAGAGAGGGCCACCGTGGGAGCCTCCAGGGAGAGGGCCACCGTGGGAGCCTCCAGAGAGAGGGCCACCGTGGGAGCCTTCAGGGAGAGGGCCACCGTGGGAGCCTCCAGAGAGAGGGCCACCGTGGGAGCCTCCAGGGAGAGGGCCACCGTGGGAGCCTCCAGGGAGAGGGCCACCGTGGGAGCCTTCAGGGAGAGGGCCACCGTGGGAGCCTCCAGGGAGAGGGCCACCGTGGGACCGTGTTCTCAGGACCGGTTGTGTCACACAGGCAGCAAGAAGCCCCGCGGCGCTGTAGAAACACCGCGGGTTACTTCGGCCGGATGTGTCTAGTGTAGATGGCGTTGGGCTGCGTAGGGTGGCGTTGGGCTGCGTAGGGTGGCGTTGGGCTGCGTAGGGTGGCGGTGGCCTGCGTAGGGTGGCGGTGGCCTGCGTAGGGTGGCGGTGGCCTGCGTAGGGTGGCGTTGGCCTGCGTAGGGTGGGGGGGGGGTAGAGGATGGCAGCACAGGGGAAGAGAGAGTAGAGGCGAGCAGTACACGCCGTAGGGCAGAATTGTGTTGTCAACAATGCTGTATTTTCTACGTCATGTCGTCAGCGGACGAAACAAGTTTCGTGACGAAGAGACAAACGGACAAAAACACCCGACCACCCTCCCTCACCCACGAGAACGACCACCCTCCCTCACTCACGAGGACGACCACCCTCCCTCACCCACGAGGACGACCACCCTCCCTCACCCACGAGGACACCACCCTCCCTCACTCACTCACGAGGACGACCACCCTCCCTCACCCACGAGGACACCACCCTCCCTCACTCACTCACGAGGACGACCACCCTCCCTCACTCACGAAAACGACCACCCTCCCTCACTCACGAAAACGACCACCCTCCTTCCCTCACGAGGACGACCACCCTCCCTCACGAGAACGACCACCCTCCATCACTTACGAGGACGACCACCCTCCCTCACTCACGAGGACGACCACCCTCCCTCACTCACGAGAACGACCACCCTCCATCACTTACGAGGACGACCACCCTCCCTCACTCACGAGGACGACCACCCTCCCTCACTCACGAGGACGACCACCCTCCCTCACTCACGAGAACGTTAAGCTACCTTCAAGCTTCGGCTGGACGGTAGATCGACGGTTTCGCTTCATTCAGGTCGGTGTTCAATCCCCGACCGTCCAAGTGGATGGGCAACATTCCTTTCCCCCGTCCCATCACAAATCCTTATCCTGATCCCTTCCAGGTGCTATATTGTCGTAATGACTTGGCGCTTTCCCTTGATAATTCCCTCTCTTACTCCTGAAATCCTGTCCTATAATATCGATACAAAATTTCGCGATTTAAATTGTTGAAAATAACCAGGAACCGCTGCGAGTGCTGTGTATAGAGGAGGGCCGCGGAGGAGCCTAGCGCCGTGTCCTCCAGAACCTCCCAACCTTCTACCACAATTATGTCTATGACAAACTCTCTCCTTCGTCACTAATGGTCCCGTGGCAAGGTCCTGCAGACGGCCCGCACTTCGTCACCAACTCCAGACACACCGACACTTGGTTCATTAGTACTGCTCTAGTATTTAAAATTTAGATTAAGAAAACATAGATTAGAAGAAAGAATGAGAAGGGAAAATAGTCAACTGGCCGCACTCTAATCTAAGATGAGGTCTGATAGAGACCTTTTGTGCCCTCTGTAATGCTTTTGCGCTACCGCTCACAGGATGAGTATGGGGTGCACAATAAACTAGCCGCCTTCGGCGGCAACAATCAAATGGCCGCACTCCGCTGAACTAAATCTAACATATCCTATTCTGCATCAGTACGTGTAGTACACCGACCAGGTGTATACACACTATAAACTTACTGATTGGCTATCATAAGAAACTTAAGGATGTCTGGCAGAGGTGCCTGCAGCTTTGTAATTTCTTTATCTAACCCTTCATATAGTCCAGGATAGCCGCATAAATGTTATTCAGCTACCCTAGATTTGTTAATATCTAGAGTTCATATTAACATATCTAGGTACGTTAATAATATATAAATAAGATGTATTTGTATAGAGCAAGAGAAGTGTGTGGAGAGAGCAGAGTGCAAGAGCGGGTCGTGGGAGAACCCCCGGAGTGAAGGGCTGACCAAGTGTGTCATCTCTACTGCCGTTGACAGCGCTCCGCTCCCTCTCTCAGCTTCTTATGGCGACACGAACGAGAACATGCAACCATAACAGACCGCAGAGCACCGCGGAGCACCGCGGAGCACCGCGAAGCGCCGATACGCAACGTAGCGGACCTTCAGGGAGTGGCCGCAGGAAGCCTGGAACCGTGGCGACGGTCCCCTTCTACGGTAGAGTGAGAGAGGCGTTTCAACGCGGTCGCCACACGAGCCCGCACGTTGTATTTACAAACGCCGGATCTAATTACCGCCGTGGGAGCTTCACGAGTACGTTGTGTGATACATCAGTTGTGATCACAGGAGTTGCTCACATGGAGTAGGATCAGTGGAGGGGGCAGCGTGTGGCTAGATCTCTACTTCAGGTGCTCTCTACCTTACTCCTGGCTGACTTCCCTATAGCTTCCCTACACCCCTCTGCGTATACTGGACAGTCTTTCAGCTTCCTTCACCCATAATGAAGTTCCCGCTGTTCTTTCCTGCTAATGAACACTATATGTTGGCCCACCATTACCCTCAATAGACGTTCATCGATTGATTGATTGATTGATGAAGAATAAGCCACCCAAGAGGCGGGACCGGCATGAATAGCCCGTAAGGTCGTTCATCGATCTCCCCAGCTCTATAATACTGCTCCCTCACCCTCCCCACTCGTGCCCCACCCCACTCGTGCACCTCCCCACTCGTGCACCTCCCCGCCCTCTGCCTCGCCGTCTTCGGCTAAAGCCATAATATTCTCCTCAGATGACCTATACACCTTCGTCACGCTCACGGTCATGCTCCCTTACGCTCACCCGTCCCGGCAGTCGTGTTCCCTTCCTCCTGAGGAATCACCTTCCCCCCTCACTCTAGGCCCCGTCGTCCTCCACCTTACACGTCAGCCACAGAGGACGGGACGTGGGGGGGGGGGGGGGGGAGGGGTCTCATCTATACGGGACAGACACGGCACACTGGCCGTCGGCTCTCCTGCGCCCTGACGCAGAAGGTATCGCCGTGTTCGTCTCGAGTCGCGCGTGTCGCAAATTAATTTAGTTGCGTCAGCTGGGGGCGTGGCGTTGCGCGGGCGTTGTAAATCTTATGTGTCTGGCCGGGGTGACGACCAGGACGGGGGGGGGGGGAGGCTGGGGCCGGGGTGTGCTGGGCTCTGATATAAGCGTGAGGTAACTACATGATCAAGAGATGGGTGTGAGAAGTAGCCCGCCTACGCAAGCGCTCGCGTACACACACACACACACACACACACACACACACACACACACACACACACACACACACACACACACACACAGGTGGTGGAGGCCAAGACCGTCAGTAGTTTCAAAGCGTTATATGACAAAGAGTGCTGGGAAGACGGGACACCACGAGCGTAGCTCTCATCCTGTAACTACACTTAGGTAATTACACTTAGGTAATTACACACACACACACACTACAGTAAGTAGTTAAATCTTCAAATATGGACACCATCAACAGAGCTTAATAAGAGCAGTAATTACTCTGCGCTTCGTCTCAAGACATAACTAGTATACCAAAATGTCAACTAATTATACTTTGCAATGACTGCCATTTACAACCAAAACCCAAAATAGAGCGATATACAGAGATAAACGGGAATGACAGACAATATTGGTAGATAGACAAAAATACCCGTAGTGTATTATTCAGAAAATAATCACAAACTAATAATATACTTAGAACTCATCCTCATCTTAATTACTTCACACATCTTCTAAATTGAATCATTTATAAGCATGTCTTAATACCTGGAGTAGGTTCTGGGAGACTTTCTACTCCAAGCTCGGTCCAGGGACAGAATTGGATTACTTTAAACCATATATGTGTTGCCTTAGGATTATTTGAAATGTTTTCCTTGTGGGATTACTTAAAATATTGAATAGATATATCAAATATTTTCAAGAATTACCAAGGGTTATATTCCCATAGGAATACCTTCCTAGTAAATATTAACTATTGTTTGTGTTAACGATTGGGACCCTTTGTACACGAAAGACTTATTTTTATTTACTCCTGCGTGTCAAAATAGTTAAAATGGAAATCAGGTCACAGTATGGAACTAAGAAATGCGATACGATCTTCAGGAAATGGCTTCAGAATAGCTGTCGTCCATTTGCGTTTTTTTCTTAGTGTGTGTGTGTGTGTGTGTGTGTGTGTGTGTGTGTGTGTGTGTGTGTGTGTGTGTGCGTGTGTGTGCGTGTGTGTGCGTGTGTGTGTGTGTGTGTGTAAGTGGTTCAAGAGACTCGAGCCTTAAAAATAGCCTTAATTAACATTACCTTTCACTGAATACAATCTCATAAGACATTACAATATGATACAATACAATATGATGTAGTACAGTGCTACATGACTGGCTTATCACAGGGTACATATTAAACAAACACCGTACAGTCTAAACCTTCCACTCAGAACCTTACAATAACCAATATACAAACAATAGACCATTTATTATTCCGGACCAATAATATATAGGCGCAATGTATAATATGTTTTCAGTGTTATATATTTTCCGGAAGTTGATCATTAGACACAAAGATACTAACTTCTCGCTTTAAGTCTTGATAAATTGTCCACAATACATTAATGCAACAAATTTATTCACAAATTGCCCGAAATACATCAGTGGAGTAGATTTATTCAGATAAATTGTTCATAATGCATTTATGAAATAAATTTATTTTTAAATAGTTCATAATTCATCTATGAAATTAATGTTCAGGTTTGTGTTCCAGATAAACTGCATCTTATCAAAAGATGTTTAGCCTAGGAATTCATATCCAGCAAATATTTGTTGTGGTCTAGACTAAAGCTTAAAATATAGCTGTAGTATACTGAATCTTAAAATACAACGGATGTATACAAAAACGTAAAAATCAGATGAAGAATACCAAAGCTTTGAATAGTTTTAATATACTAAAGCTATAAATACAGCAATAGTATACCTAAACTAAACATGTGTTAGCGGTAGTATGTAGTATGCTAAGCTTCACACACAGTTGCTTTGCTACCTCAGGAGAGGGTAGTCGGCCAAAGTTCAGTTGCTAGAACTACAGATCTCTGCAACACCCTACAGTCTTAAGATAAAAATTAATAAGGCTTATCATCGTCTTCCTAAACACCGTGTGTAAACAACCCACCAGCCAGACACTATAATCATTTCGAATATATACAGTAGCAACATATATTTAAATATATATCTATTTAAAATCAATTAATCTTAAGCAAATGCCAACGCTGTTGAAGACGTTTATAATTACAAAGTCCCGTGTTACTTCAAGGCCGTCTGATGTACTGTGAGAGCCTTTGTCATGTTCCTCAGCTAGGGAAGACAAGTGTAAACAAACGCTTGTGACACTAACTTCTCACCAACATCACTCACTGCATCATGCACCTGGCTGCGTTTACCACAGTTGGTTTTAAACATCGTGTTTCAGTTTGTTCGAAGATTGTGGGAGATATAAACAAATGGGTGGGAGAGAGAAAACTGAGACTCGCGGGCGAGGTAGTAGAGCAAATGTACATGTCACTTTACCCTATTCTTTCCCTACCATCTCATTGGGTATTAACACATGGCTGCCGTCAATACCCCCATCTCCGGCCTCCACCAATCCCTCCATTTTCGTCTTTCCTCCGTCTCTGACCGGCCTCCCTGCCTCCCTCCATTGGCTCCAGTTCAAGGGGCTCAATTTCTGCGATACCCACAGAATTCGCCATAACAATGGCTGGAAGGTTGAGAGGGTCGCCGGGGGCACTGTTTTGTGTGCATTTAACAGCTGCCTTCTGTTCACTACTCGGTGACAGCTACGGTCTCTCTCTCACACAGGCCAGGGCCAGCATCCTCCAGGTCACAGCTTGATGCCAATAGGGCCACGCATCGGTATACATTCCTGTAGGCACCAGGACAGCTTCCAATACCGGGCAGGACGAAGATACATAATGTTTCACCGAAACCCACCGTGAGCAGTTTCCCACGCGGACAAATCGTCGTTTATGTTCGTCATTAAGGTCTCGGACCCCCTGCTGCACGTCGAGGGCCCAGACGCGGATTCCCAGCACCGCCAGGTGTGAACTCCAGGCAGGTACACACAACACGGCCAGTCACACGTACATAAAAAGTTGCGACACGGTTTCTTCTTTGTGTGTCAGTTTCCGTGCTGGTTGGTATGGGGCCTGGTGCTCGGCCTGCTCGGCCCGTGTGTGCCGAGCGTGAGTGCATCAATACCTCAGAGAGAGAGGCCGTGAACGAGGAGAGTCAACGAGAGGCAAGGGAGCGTGTTTGGCCCAACACCGGTTACATAAAGGCGACCATTGTTGGCTTCCAGCTTCCACCACCGGACGCAAACAACTTCAGTGGTTGAAGACACTTCCATAATGACCCTGACACTTGACGGTGTTATTGTCGTCAGTAGGAACCACCAAGATGATATGGAGGCGTCATTATAACTTCCATTCTCCTCCCTACTTTGGTAACGATGCCTTGCTGCCAACTCCAACTTCTTGGTTGCAAACTGTTTCACGATATTCCATAATTATATATTTGGATCATGTAACGGGGCTAGGGAGGTGCTCATATCGGAGGCGAGGGGAAGGGCACTAATGTGAGCTAGCCGGAGTGAGACGGAGCAGTGGGTCTTGTCACCCCTCTGACCTCCATAACCTTGGGAGATGCACAAGGAAGTGTACAATTAGGCATCCTGGGTTAGGTCGCAAGGTTCGGCCAGGATCCCGTCGGAGGTAAGCGGGGCAGCCAGGGATTATGGTGAGGGTGGTAGCAGGCGGGGCTGGCACGCCCGTCCCTCACTCCTCTTCCTAACGTATACAACGTTCTAAGGACAACTTGTCTATTACTTCTAGATTAACATTTTTCTTCTTAAGCTTACAAGTTTCATCTTTAGGAAACCTAACAACATGAACTGCCAGAATTATACCGGTTAACTTACAGGTTTCCTAGTATTCCTGCGCTTAGGGTCCCCAAGGGAGACCCGACCGGCTCGTAGGAGCCTTAAGGAGACCCACGCCAACGCTTGGATAAACTCCAAGTTAAAAGGAGTTTATCTGCTTTTAAGAGCTTCAAGATACGAGTTAAAAATTTTCAGGTCTCACAGTGGGACCTGGTCTTAAGATTCTTAGGTCATGAAGAGTAACCTGAACTTTGTAGCAGTATCTTAAGGACACCCGAAGGAAGACCTGGTCTGTATACTTCTCTCCTTCAATTCCTGCAGAAAACATGTTTTACACAAGTTAAAAAAGTGACCAAATCAGGATTTAGAAGCTCATCGGCTTTCAATTATTTGTCGCGTAAATTAATCTTTAGTCATTGTGTTGCGTGTTTTTCTTGCTTCTATATTCGTTAAAAAATAAAACTGGTTCAGCAGACCAACTCATTTTAAAGTTATTAGTTCCGACTCGCAACTTGAGAAACTTGTTTGGTGTGTCGGAGATTGATGGATGGGAAGGCTGCCAGATACGGTCGTTTGAGGGTCCCTAAGTGATGAGGAGGCTGCCAGATACGGTCGTTTGAGGGGTCCCTAAGTGATGGGGAGGCTGCCAGATACGGTCGTTTGAGGGGTCCCTAAGTGATGGGGAGGCTGCCAGATACGGTCGTTTGAGGGGTCCCTAAGTGATGAGGAGGCTGCCAGATACGGTCGTTTGAGGGGTCCCTAAGTGATGGGGAGGCTGCCAGATACGGTCGTTTGAGGGTCCTTAAGTGATGAGGAGGCTGCCAGATACGGTCGTTTGAGGGGTCCCTAAGTGATGGGGAGGCTGCCAGATACGGTCGTTTGAGGGTCCCTAAGTGATGGGGAGGCTGCCAGATACGGTCGTTTGAGGGTCCCTAAGTGATGGGGAGGCTGCCAGATACATATACTATACAGTACATCAAAATAATCAAAGTAATCCTGGACACCATCGATCACAAACTATTTACTATACTGTGGTTTCAACATTTATTGAAATAAGTCTATCTTATCCTCAAGACAACATACAACCTTAAATCAAAGTTGATACAGACCAAACAGTTCATAAGATCACACATGAATATCCTACAATCAAATGAACAAATCCACAAGGGTCGTGATGAGGGTTCGAACTTACGTCTGGAATGATCCCAGACGCGCCTTAATCGACTGTGCCACGACATGGTTTGTCGTGATTTGTTTATTTGTGGATTTCCACAATTCTCGTGGATTTGATCATTTGATATATCACGCCATTGTGATTTCTGTGTGTATCCTACAATGAGTCAAGTGATGGAGTCCTTGTGAGTAAGTCCAACCCCACACACAAAACAAATTATCGTGACATTCTCTGAACAAGGTCCTTATATATCTAGTAATTTAAAGCTCTTTCGTATCCGAAAACAACTTCCGGTTTCCAACACGCGGGTAATAATTGCATAGTTAAGCCTAATTTCAGCTTCATTCCCATGTCGACCACATTGCGTTATCAACACTGCTTCCACGCAGGGTGCAGTTGCGCCTCCACAGATCTCCAGTATCAGCTCTTGATACTGGTAATGGCTCAAAAGGGCCACCACTTACGGGCTATTCATGCCCGTGCCACCTCTTGGGTGGCTTAATCTTCATCAATCAACACTGCTTCCCTGGTCCCGCTGACGCCACACAAATCAAGCGGATGTGCCTTGCCTTACACATGTATGCAATATACGCCATTGATGTATAAATGCTATTTATATATGAACATAATAGAAACTAAAAAAGTAATAATGCATGGGTGTAATTGTATCAAACAATATCTACATTGAACCGTTGGAATTGTGCGGTTCCGGACCTGATTTTACCAAGGTAAGGAGTCGAGGGTGAACCGTTCATAACCCTAGGCAGGTCGCTGGGTGGGGGTGGGGGGGGTCCTGTTGATGACCCCAGACAGGCCAATTGTCCCGTTGATGATCCCAGGCCGGACATTAAGGGTAGGGGGTCCCGTTGATGACCCCAGGTAGGCCGCAGAGTCGGGAAAGTTCCACTGATGACCCCAGGCAGGCTGTCGAGGGTAGGGGGTCCCGTTGATGACCCCAGGCAGGCTGCCAAGGGTAGGGGGTCCCGTTGATTACCCCAGGCAGGCTGTCAAGGGTAGGGGATCCCGTTGATTACCCCAGGCAGGCTGCCAAGGGTAGGGGGTCCCGTTGATGACCCCAGGCAGGCTGTCAAGGGTAGGGGGTCCCGTTGATTACCCCAGGCAGGCTGTCAAGAGTAGGGGATCCCGTTGATTACCCAAGGTTGATTCCACAAAGTTTTCATATAGTTATTATGTTCATCACAGACCTTCCGCCTCAGCCTTGGGCATCATCATCCTTGAGAACGAGTCACGTGATCACTTACGAGTCACGAGTCACTTACAAGCGTAACGAAAAGCAAAACAACTGAAGGGATTCGTGGGGTATTGCCGCTGGTAATGAACAAGTCACCCTGGATGGTAGCACAGCGTGAGCTGGCCACGACACCGTCACCTAGCTCCTGGACCCACAGTGATCTCGTGGCATCTGTCATCCCGTGTTGGGTCAGTGGCTCAGATGGGAAGCAAGTCTCTCGGACGATCACAACTTGACGGAAATTTTTCCTGAGAAGAAGCAAGATGAGCGCTTAGTCCTCAAGGGTCCCCGGTGTGGTCTTGTGGTAACCTGGTCACTTAGAGACTCTGGGCAGAGATGATTCCCAGACCATCACAGTTTGGTTTCTCCAGAAACAGCGGCGGTTTGGTAAAGCTGATGGTTGAGGGGCATCAGTTGACGAGACATGACAAAGCTTGCAGTTTAGGGAAAATCTGGCCTGGCCTGAAGTTATACCATCAGTGTTGAAGGCTTAGTTAGCTGGTCACGGCCTGGCCTGCCTGGTCTTGGTGAGGAGCTCGTGAAGCATGGCCATGGCCTCGTCCAGCCCCTCCCCGGTGACGGCGCAGGCAGGGGCCACCACCCAGGGCTGGGAGTCCGGCAGCTCGGGCAGCCCCATGGCCTTGGCCAGGTGCTGAGGTTCCCTGGCCCCCGGCAGGTCCTGCTTGTTGGCCAGCACCAGCAGGGGCGGGCGCGGCCGATTGAGCGCCACACACTGTGCCGTCTGCTGCTTCGTCAGGCGCTGCAGCTCCACCCGCGTCTCCTCCAGACGCTCCTCGCAGGTGCTAGAGTCCACCACGAATATTAGGGCATCTGTGGCCCTGGTGTAGGAACGCCAAAGTGGCCGTACCCTTTCTGCGCCCCCGACGTCCCACACCAGCCAGTGACCGCCCCCGGCACGCACCTTCTCCGTGTTGAAGCCCACAGTGGGCACGGCGTTCACGTACTGTCCATATCGGAGACGGAAGAGCGCCGTGGTCTTTCCGGAAGAGTCTAAGCCCACAAGCACCACGTGGGCTGGGGGCCGCACCAGCGCCGCAGCCTCCCACAGGAGGTACTGTGCCGCCCCCACCACCCCCGCCCACAGGCAGGCGCACATACTCACGCCCGCATGCTGCACCACAACCCACTGGGGGCCGCCACTAAGGGCTCACGCTCCTGTAAGGGAACATCGTCGACTCCACGTGTATCAGACATTGAGGAATCAGAAGCACCAGAGGGAATATCAGGACTAGGGTTAATATCCAGAGATACCAGAGATAGGGTCGGGGGCCCCTGGCATACGATAGGATCACTGTCTACTGCCAATCGCTCTCTCCGTGACATCAACTCTTCATTTTCCTTCCCGTGGTAGATGCAAAATTTCGCGCGCAAAGTTGCATATAATTTTTTTATTATATTATTGTTTTACATTTTCGTCGCAGTCACATGCTTTACTAGTCATCACATTTGTTGTTTACAATTTAATGCCAGAGCGCCTTGAATATAATCAGGACTGTCCAGTTACAAGTGAACACAAGTCCGAGCACACAGCGACACTCGCCCCACGGCAGCTGGGGACCGACTGAGCCAGGAGCGTGGACCTGAACTGAGGAAAACGGAAACACAGAGTTGCCAAGATCCTATCATCCATAATTGTACCTAATATTCTCCTCTTCATTTGTGCGCAAAGTAGATGTTACTATTTGAATATTTTTTATATTATTGATATATCAGTCCCTGTTAAATTGGAAAAGCAGTAGAAATGATAGAAAATATATTAACTCTGATTATATTGAGGTTTGTGGCGGTGAGGTAGGAGGGGCGCGGACAGGTATCGTCAGCTAAGTTTCCAAGACGCACAATAACACCCGCTTCTCATAACTGTTTAAATACGTCATATTGGCCCAAGTGACGTAGCCAACGCCAGAGACCGTGGCGGTAACATATTCCCATCTGATGAATGTGAGAATTGTAATTAAAACTAACGTGATCTCTGAGAATTTTACCAAAATTATTGGACATTTATGAAGCCAGCTTGTTTGTGGGAATATTTCGCAATTGCTGGAAGTTGCGAGTTTGCTCACGCAAAATCTTCTTTAAAGCCATATAAAGCTTCAGTTATTCAACATGTAGTCTTTAAAATACACCGCCAATACCTCTGCCGATTGAGGTACATAACCTCCTAATGGACCCTTGAAACGTCTTGTCTCACTATACGACTGTCAAAATAATAGCAAATCTCTGCCGGAGAACTCTACAGATATTTTTGTTTACACGTGGAATACTATATTTCCGCTTCTCAAGTGACTCGCACCCTCTGGGCTCTCAAGAAAAGGGGGGAGAGTATCCACCATACCCAATAAACCATATTCAAATTCTCTTGTCCAATTTCCCTACGTCAATACCCGATAAATTCTATGGTCTTCCACCTCAGTCCCTCTCTTCTGTCCCCCTCAGTCCCTTTCTCCTGTCCCACCTCAGACCCTCTCTTCTGTCCCCCTCAGTCCCTTTCTCCTGTCCCACCTCAGACCCTCTCTCCTGTCCCCCTCAGTCCCTCTCTCCTGTCCTTCCCCGTCAGTCTCTTCCCCCATCAGTCCCTCTTCTGCCCCCATTGATTTTAAAGCAGTGGGTTATAATTTCAGGAGGAAGCCATGTCATCGCTAGTGGGGGTAGTTGAACACGGCGTGGGGGTGGAGTGGAGGATTAGGGGAAGGTGTGCGGGGAGTCTGAATAAAAGGGGAAATAGGGAATGGAATGTATTGAGAAAGGGGAGAATATGCCGAAGGGAAGAGGAGATTTTGATTTCTAGGAGATGGAGAGAAAGTGGGAATGGGGTGGAAGAGGTAATGGGCAAGGGAGCAAAAATTACCGAAAACATGTCATTTGTGCACAAAACACACAAATACACGGATTCCTACATAATAATTACACATAGTGTAAACATAGGCGATGAGTCACAATAACGTGGCTGACGATCACATGACCCAAACCATTTACGGGCTATTCATGCCCATGCCACCTTCTGGTTGGTGTAACCTTAATCTATCACCAAACCATACATCAGAAAATGGAGAAACGACGACGTTTCGTCCTCTACGAACGAAGGTTCGTCCTTCGTCCTGGATCATTATCAAGTCTTCTTACATTGTTACCTCAATTTTACAATCATCCTATTCTTACGTTATTCTTACATTCATCGTCGTCGTCCCTTCACCTTCTAGTGTGTGGTCTGGTCAACTTACATTCATCCTTTTCTTACCTTATGCTTACATTCATTCTATTACGTTATTCTTACATTCAACCTATTCTTAAGTTATTATTACGGTCATCTTATTCTAACCTTATTCTTACATTCATCCTATTGTTGACCAAACTACACACTAGAAATTGAAGAGACGACGACGTTTCGGTCCGTCCTGGACCAATATGAAGTCGACTGTCTTCATGATGGTCCAGGACGGACCGAAACGTCGTCCTCTCTTCAATTTCTAGTCTGTGGTCTGGTCAACACTTTTCAGCCACGTTATTGTGACTTCTCGTCTGCATTCATCCTATTCTTACCTTATTCTTACTTTCCGTGAAAAGGTACCGCGGTACTACCCAGCAGGTGGTCGGCTTCACAGTAACAAATAAAAAACGCATTGATTTTTGCGGTGTGATGGGCAAGAATTAAAGTTCAACAGAAAAACACCCAAATAACTATTCTCAAGTCCTATTCTTATCTTTCACCTTACTCTTACCTGCTCCTTATCTCATTCTCTTTCCTTATTTATTTGCCTGTTCCTTCTTCTTCCCTAATAAGTAAACAATAAAACAAATTCCTCTCCCTCTTCCAGAGCGTTTGCAAGGAGACCACTCACAGCCCCGCTCCCGTGACAGGTAAGTCCACTACGGGCTCACAGGATGAGTATGGGGTGCACAATAAACTAGCCACCTCAGGCGGCAACAGTTCAAACTACGGGCTCACCATAGCCCGTGCTACTTGGAACTTTTTGTTCCCAGTAGCTGAATCTAAAACAACATCCTCTCTTCTTCACACGACTTGATAATGGTTCAGGACGGATCGAAATGTCGTTCCATCCGACTACAGATATCTCTGAGTGTGGATTGACAATAAGAGAAGCTTCGAGAAGCAAACACGATACGTGAAGAATGAACAACCAATAGGCTGAATTTCTGGCTGTTTTAGCAGCCGCTTAAATAATGAATGAAGGAAGGTTAAGTAGGAATGGAATAATCCTTATATCTGGGACCAGTCCAGACGGAGAGGCCAAGCTGGACATGTCGCCTTGGCCTCATTTGGTGACAGCACGTTCGAAACCTTAAACTACAGAAGCAATATATAACGTTCAAACGTTTAACCGCTTTACATTTCTGGAACCATGAAATAAAAAGACATGGTATATTACGAAAAAATTAATTCAGCTGTAATCTCGACGCTACAGAATCGTTACAAATGTCAAACAGTGAAGGTTGTGCTACCTAGGGAGAGGATTCGCACGCGATGTTTATCTACACATCGTGCGAGAGTCCATTGTTGTGGCCAGACCAGACACGCTGGGGCGGACAGGCGCCACCAGTAATTACTGCTATCTCGCCCCTCAAATGTTTTATGATAAACCTCAGACAGGAGTTGGTTTGAAGTTTTATATTATCTGAGGAGCGTGGCGTTGGCCAGGTGTAGAGCCAGGGGGGGGGGCATGTCTTCACTACACAGGTTCCCCATCGCTAAGGTCCATCCTCTCCTGCTCCCAACATGTTCTCAGGCCAGGCTCGTTAAAGCAGCGGCCGCCACACAAAAACGCATTCGTCAATTTCCACGTATTGTGTATTCAAAATAAGTCCTCATATATAAATTAATATTTTCATAAATTGCAATTTTATGTATAGTTATGCGTAGGTTAAACGTTTAGAGTATGTTGGAGATTATATATATTTGTAGTACGTGGGTGAAGTATTTACATAGTTGCGATTTGAACACAGGTCGTCAGCGAAATACTGTTAGAGAAGTGTCCGAACATTATCAGTTGAGTCGTGTGTAAAGTTGTTTTTTTCATTAGCTTCTTGGACAAAACTCTCTTGATGACAGGATGACACACATTGCAAGTATTGTTCATGCAAGTATATATATATATATATATATATATATATATATATATATATATATATATATATATATATATATATATATACATATATATATACATATATATATATACATATATATATATATATATATATATACATATATATATATATATATATATATATATATATATATATATATATATATATATATATATATATATATCATCGTCATGACGATTTTTCCCATCTCACAATGTTATAAGTATAAGTATAAGTCATTTTGCTGTGATCAAGAGCCTTCAAATGTTCAAACACAAATAACTAGGTAAACTCACATGTTAACCCTTCTCATTATTAAATGCCGAAGACAGCCTAACTTTAATATTATAATAACAAGGTCAGAATGAATACATGATAATATAAATATATGGAATAAACAATAACATTAGGTATAGCTAGATGCCGGGACCCAAGAACTACACCTATCTGCTCGTAAACAGGAGTAGGGAGGAAGCCTGGTCGACGACCGGGCCGCGGGGACACTAAGCCCCGGAAGCACCTCAAGGTAACCTCAAGGTTACCTAAGCACAAGTCATGGGAGGGAGAGGAGGCACTATCTTCACGCCCACACAGATAAGAGGCCAGTCCCCAGCAGGTAATGGAGGCCTACCATGACTGGGAAGGACATAATGGTGTGAGGGAAGAGGTAATGGATGGGTTACTATCCACCATCAGCGGCCCGCCCTCCACCACCTGGTCATGTTGGACAGGTGATCCCTCACCTCACCTGCTATCTGTGATGCTCTTCACCAATTGCTTATGTACCATTATTCTAGTCGCAAAGTGTCACATTTGACAGTTGTCAAGTTGTTGATTTGTATCGCTACTCTACTACTTCTTCCTCTCGCTCTTTACCATCCACTCAACGTCTCCCACACACGCCACTCCACCTCCCACTCAACCTCCCACTCACCTAAGCATCTCCCACACACTACTTCACCTCCTACCCACTTAAACACCACAAAAAAATATATATGTATATGGGAGACCTTCATTGTGGAAGTTTTTCTTCCCAGTTTTTTCGACATTTCATCACTGTCAACTTCGTTGTCAGTAAATGAACTTATATTTTCAGTGTCCACAGTTGGGATACATTTTGGTTCATTTTTGGGGAGGTTATCTTACCTTGCGTTGATTTCGGGACTCAGTGTCCCCGCGGCCCGCTCCCCGACCAGGCCTCCTGATTGCTGAACTGGTGAATCAGGCTGTTGGACGCGGCTGCTCGCAGCCTAACGTATGAATCACAACCTGGTTGATCAAGTATCCTTTGGAGATGTTTGTCAAGTTCTCTCTCTTGAACACTGTGAGGGGTCGGCCAGTTATGCCCCTTATGTGTAGTGGAAGCGTGTTGAACAGTCTCGGGCCTCTGATGTTGATTGATTGATAAAGATTAAGCCCGTAAGTGGAGGCTCTTTGGAGCCATTACCAGTACCAATAGCTGATACTGGAGATCTCTGGGTGGATGATTGTTTTGTTTTGTGGGGGGAGGGGGGGGGCTGTCTCGGAGGGCCAGCTATAACAACTATAGAGCTGGTGAGTTAGTGAAGGCCTCCAAGTCTTCTGTGTTTTTCCTTAGTCTGAGTTTTGCTGCGAGTTGACATGGTTGTGTTGTCATAGGAGTTGGGTGGTGTGGCCTCCACGAGAAGACCTTGTACGGAGCAGGGGAAGTGTTACAGCAGAGTGTGTACTGCCCATATCCCACTCAATTTCAGGCTTATCACATGCAGTTTTAGCTGCCTTGTGTGTCATTATGCTGGACAACACCTATGGGAGATGGTGTTCATACAAATGAGGGGTTGCTCCCTGAAGTGAACCTGTATGTGACAGTAATCTTCCTGGTTGTTAATTATTGTATATTGTGGTCGAACATCATAAACCCTCTTCGTGGGCTATTTATATTGTCATTAGTTTTGAATATTCCACTATTTGAATATCTATGTTCTATTAAGAACATATTAAGAACTTTGCCCGAAACGTTATGCGTACTAGTGGCTTTAGGTATTGTATGTACTAACTCTATTTATAAATCAATCAGAATGTTTGTAACTTCGCATCTATGTATGCACTTTTCCTAAATAAAATAATAATATTATTATTATAACAAATTTGACTATTTCAAATAATAATTCAGTTACTGCTCAAATAACTAGAAAACCAAAGATTACTACAGAAAACGTTGTTATGGGTAACTACTCAGTTTTAGAAGCTTATAATTCATAATAATGAACTTATTTATTTATATACAAGAAGGTGCATTAGGGGTTAACAGAGAACATAGAGTTTAAGTTGAAATTACATTCTTGTAAAGCCACTCGCACGCATAGCGTTTCAGCCAGATACAATTATAAGCTGTGTCCATATATAATTAAATATATGTACAAAATTTAATTATTGAAGCCCCCCCCCCCCCCGCAGCTAAGTTCGAGGCCCTCCGATTAGTGACCCATTCAGTTACTGGCGAGAACCAACGGTGCTAAACTTGACGCACAGAATGGTGTGCGTCTGAAAAATACAGTATATAATTTAGTGTTTGCAATGTAATTATTTACCTGAATTTACCCGAGGGCCGCTAGTGGCCTCGACGGGGACAGGAAGCTGACGGCTCGTCGAAAGTGTTTGCCTTGATGATCTTTTTCAGTTGTACTTTAAAATGTAACACAGTTTTTGACTTTACGGCTTCGGCGGGTAGGCGGTTCCATGGGCTTACAACCCTGTGGGTAAAAAAAGCATAATTTTCAATGATGCTTTTTGAAGCCAGGAATGAAGACTGAAGGAAATAGACCTCACCCCGCTTGAGAGGGAGAGGAACAGGGAGACATGATAACGACATACAAAATTCTAAGAGAAATTGACAATGTATACAAAGGAAGGAACATCAAAACGAGAAGCTAGACGAGAGCTGGGAACTCACCTGAGTGAGAGAGAACTTCAACTCAATAGTCGTAAAGGGATGGAATGGTTTAGATGAAGAAGTGAATGAAACCAACTCGATTCCATATGTCAGATGTCATTGCATTAAACTATTAATAAAGGCATGAAAAGCGGGGCTAAGGAAATGAAGCTCAACTCTGCAAGTACATACAGGTTAGTACATTTATGTCCAATCACACGTTCACAGGAACACATTAGTACACGGAGACAATCACGTGGAAACATTAGTACATGTAGTACGTTGTAGATATGATAGAGCCCAGTAGGCTCAAGAATCTGTACACTAGTTGATGACAGCTGAGAGGCGGGACCAAAGAGCCAAAGCTCAACCCCCCGCAAGCACAGCTAGGGGAGTACATAGAGACATTACTATACGGAGATAATCACATTGACACATTAGTACACGGACACATTAGCACATGGACACATTGATGAAGACACATTGGTACACGGACACACTTAACACTCTTGGATACGCTGAAATAGTTTTTGAATTCCATAGTTCACATTATCGTCAATAATACACCGTGTTAATGTAACGAAACGTAATGAAACCTAACCTAAGCTAACGAAATCTTAACCTAATGTAACCTTAACCTAACCATGAATAGAGAGTAGATAATAGAACTTATTATGTTTTCGTTCTCAATCCCTTCCCGGGAATGGATTTCCTCCCTGAGGACAGGTTGCTGTAAACACAATCATTACATTCCAAAAAACCGTGACGTCAAGAAAAAACAACTTGTCACTGGTTGTTAATAACAACAGCGCCACAACAGCGAAACTTCTTAAATATTAAAACAGCAGAATTAATAATTCTGCTTTTATAACTGATTTCCAGTCTTTCATAACTAATTTCCAGCCTTCGAAAACTCATTTCCAGTCTTCCATAACTCATTTCCAGCCTTCGAAAACTCATTTCCAGTCTTCCATAACTAATTTCCAGTCTTCCATAACTCATTTCCAGCCTTCGAAAACTCATTTCCAGTCTTCCATAACTAATTTCCAGTCTTCCATAACTAATTTCCAGCCTTCGAAAACTCATTTCCAGTCTTCCATAACTAATTTCCAGTGGCATGAATAATTCCATCAGCTTCATCCGTGCTGCCAACGTGTGTGTGAGCGGACGCTGTACCATCCTCCTCCTCCTCCTCTACCGTTCCAACACCTCCAGCCAGATTTGGAAACTCCCCGTCTGAATATATACAGGATTCCAGCTCCTTGGGAATCGAAGCAGCTTGGAAACTTGACGGGATTTCATCTCCGTTGTAGCATCCATGATGAGAAATCAATATTGGTGAAGGTTAGCACCTTCGATGCTGGATGCTGCCGAGGGCTTGGAAATGGTTGTGGTGTGTGGGCTCACTTACATGTGCTCACTTATTTGTGTTTGTACGATCGAGCTTAGGCTCTTAGGCCCCGGCTGTCACGCTTCCTGTCTCAAGTGAACATTCGACCTGCATGGCTCTACTCATCTACTTTTGAAACTGAGTCGGGAATTGACCGCCTGCTACTCCTGTAGTTGATTCCATTGTGGTGGTATTCTTACGTAAATGACTGTCTAATAATACCCAAGGTTTATGTGATTCTTAAGCTATAATTAATGACCAATTGTTCTATTGCTGTTTAGTGTAAACATTTCTTCGTTTTCCCCACTGTCAGTTCCCAAGGATTTTATGTATATGTATATCTCTGTCAGTCTGTCTGTGTCTGTTTGATTCATTCTCTCTCTCTCTCTCTCTCTCTCTCTCTCTCTGTCTCATCCCGCTATGTGTGGTAGGCAGCCAGGCCCACAACTACACCCCATGGAGGAAGCCATGGGTTACCGGCAGATAATTTAGGGACACGGAGCGTGTTGGCTTGACGCTGAGTGGAGAGTGGAAGGAGCTGCCAGTCTTCTGAATTTATAATTCTAATAACCATGATAAAAGTAATATATAAATTAAAACTATGAACGTAGAATGTTTGAGTTCAGTTTCATGATATATTCATGATAATATATTTGGACAAATTATAAACTGAACTTTCAAAATAAACAAATATATTATCTCACCAAGTCCTATTCTTATCTTTCACCTTACTCTTACCTGCTCCTCATCTCATTCTCTTTCCTTATTTATTTGCCCGTTCCTTCCTCTTCCCTAATAAGTAAACAATAAAACAAATTCCTCTCCCTCCCCGGCCGACCGGGGAGCCGGTCGACCGAGCGGACAGCACGCTGGACTTGTGATCCTGCGGTCCTGGGTTCGATCCCAGGCGCCGGCGAGAAACAATGGGCAGAGTTTCTTTCACCCTATGCCCCTGTTACCTAGCAGTAAAATAGGCACCTGGGTGTTAGTCAGCTGTCACAGGCTGCTTCCTGGGGGTGGAGGCCTGGTCGAGGACCGGGCCGCGGGGACACTGAAAGCCCCGAAATCATCTCAAGATAACCTCAAGATAGATACCTTTAATCTAAGTGAAAGAACAGACGGGGTAAAATTATGATATTTTTTGTTGATAAATTTGCTGAGGAGTTTTTCAATAGGTAGACAGAGTTGTGGCTTATATCTGTGTAATGGGAATATAATGGGCAATGAAAACAAACTTCTAAACGTTCTTTTTATTTTAGAAATCGCCTTACATATAAACGTTTACATGTAGTAATTTAATCACAATTCATCAGTCAGGTAAATGTTTCTAAACTCTAAAACACATCAGCCAGCAAGTCAACAGAATGTCTTCCAACTCTTCATAAGGTCTTGCCCAAGTGTTACTGGGTAGCCGGCCAGCAAGTGTTACCCGTCCCTTGGGCTAGTGCTGACGACACTCCACACGGGGGTAACACTATACAGGCCAGCTGGTCCCTGTATAGAGGCCAGCTGGTTCCCTGTACAGAGGCCAGATGGTCCCTGTATAGAGGCCAGCTGGTTCCCTGTACAGAGGCCAGCTGGTTCCCTGTACAGAGGCCAGCTGGTTCCCTGTACAGAGGCCAGCTGGTTCCCTGTACAGAGGCCAGCTGGTTCCCTGTACAGAGGCCAGCTGGTCCCCTGCACAGAGGCCAGCTGGTCCCTCAAGGAGGTCAGGTTTCGACCGCGGAGTCCCTACATACTACACTATAAATACCTACAGACCTTACAGTGGACTTGGGTCTTAGTGCAACCCGCTCGAAACCCAGCTTTCCCGCCAGTCCCAGCTCTACCACAAGCCCCAGATCTTCCCAGAGCCCCAGATCTTCCTAGAGCCCCAGATCTTCCTAGAGCCCCAGATCTTCCTAGAGCCCCAGATCTTCCTAGAGCCCCAGATCTTCCTAGAGCCCCAGATCTTCCTAGAGCCCCAGATCTTCCTAGAGCCCCAGATCTTCCTAGAGCCCCAGATCGTCCTAGAGCCCCAGATCTTCCTTGAGCCCCAGGTCTTCCTAGAGCTTTAAATTTTTCTAGGGCTTCCATGAGCCCCAGCTGGATTAATATTAAAAAAAAGTGTCATGCCAAATGCGTTGTGTCATCCATACGTGACCAAGCTATAGAGTGCTACCAATAATAATCCGAAGCCGGGATTAAGAGGAGCCCAAGACGCAGCTGTGAGCTACAACGTATCACAGAGAAAACGCTTTTAAATATCGTAACTGTATATTTAAGTATTTGTGAAGGTCCTGCTTAAGATAAGACACTCGCCTCTCGCAGAAGCTGAGCTGGAGCGCGCAGCCGTGACGCCTGAACGTCGAGGAAGATGTTCAGAGGTCCGTTGAAGACTTGATGAGCCAGCCCAGCTACGTGTTTAGTTGGTACTTGTAGTAGTCATGTGGACCGTCGTACTTATATGGACGTAGTGGACAATTAGAAAGTGTAATTTGGTACCTACCCTGGCTGTGCGCCCTGGAGAGGCCACTCCAGACCGACAACTCCATAGTCTCCCGAGACTGATGGATGCCTATTACTAATTTGGTACTACTGAATTTCTACACACCGGAAAAGGTTTTGTATTTATAACCCTAACTTAACCATCCTAGGCCTAATACAGGCTATCTGAGGCTTAATATAGTACATTTATTTACTATACTAGGCCCTAGGAATATTTTAGCTTGGTTCTTATCATTATTTTTTTCCGGACTTTATAAAGTGAATAGTACCCAATTCTACTATATAATTGTCCATTACGTCAATATATGTACTATGGTGCTCATAGTTACAACAATTACTACCTAACAAGGAGGACGGGTTGTGATAATGGCGCACGATGGACACAAACGTCCTCATTTCCTATATTTTCGGATGTGTGGCAGTTGGGTTTCAAATTTTCAAATTTTATCGTGACTTACTGCCTGGAAATGAATTCTGATTGGTTAATTGGAAGTGACGTCAGTGGAATCGACGTTTGATTGGTCGAAAGGCTATGCCACCACAACGCAACATCTATGACCAATCATTATCAAGCTGTTTATGTAATCTCTCGGATGGAGGTCCTATATACAATTATTTACAAACTTTTATATTTTCTGGGCCATCTTTAAAGCTTTTCAATATGTACAAATATAGAAGTTCATTCATTAAAATGATATATAAAACTGAAGTTCACTGAAACAAGTCTTTTTAAAATTAAACATAGAATGTGTATTTTTATAAACCATTCATTTTACACGTGCTCAAAGAAATTAAGTTTTGAATTTGAAAGGATATAATTAATAAGAGCTGCATCGTATAGGCCAATAGGCCTTCTGCAGTTTCATTTATTTTTATATTTCTTGAACATTATGGGCACTGCACGGCTGCACAATGTATCAATAGGCACGGCAAGGCTTTGCCATCTGAGGAGAGTGTCAGCTTGTGTAATATGGCACCAGGCTGTGCTCGGCAACGTTGCCACGCTACATTGTTTCGTGTCATCAAAATTTGTTTTTTTTCTCAAATGTAAATAAAACTTATCGACTTGATATCACAATCGACTTGAGAATGGTCCAGGACGGACCGAAACGTCGTCGCCCCTTCAACTTCTAGTGTGTGGTCTGGTCAACATACTTCAGCCACGTTATTGTGACTCATCGCCTGCAAAACTTATTACATATTATAGTTTAGTGCATAGTTAGCTCTAGGGTCTCTAGGGTAGGTTTGGTCAGGCGTTTTGTTTTTATTGGCAATTATTTGGATTTATTTCGAATACAATTTAGAATGAATCATTTAGAAAGTTGCACTTTGGACTGAGTTACACTCAGGTTATGTTCATCCATCCAGCGGTCCACTCCAAACACGCAGCACCAATCTGATAATGCTGTTGATTCAAAACACGAATTTTCTCAAATGTAACTTAATATTATTAGTTACTAGTATTATTGGTATTATATAATGTAACTTAATATTGTTACATTGCTAATGTAACAATATATTAGCATATTGTGCATATTTAGGGCATAGGTTAGGTATTTGAGGTCTGTTGGCAATTATTTTATTTGTAGTACGTTTGGGGAATCATTTATAGAGTTGTGATTCGAACAGAGATCGTCAGTGTAGAACCGTTGGAGAAATGTTCGAACGTCATCAATTGTGACTCGTATGTCGTTTTTCATTCATATACGAGATTTGGCCGCTGCATGGAATGAACATTTGGCCTTTGTTGATGAGGATGGACTGCTATGAACAGGGACAGTGAACGAAGCAGTTCTCAACAAAGTTCAAATGTAATGAGTCGTGTGTCATGTGTTAAGTGCAGAGTGGATGAGCGAGCATGTGTTCAATGTTTAGCAGTCTGGCCTCATCATCAAAGGCCAAATGGTCGTTAATCTAACCGCCAAACCCCTTGTTTATGAATGAAAAACACTGCACGCGACTCACAACTGAGGACGTTCGAACATTTCTTGAACAATGCTTTACTGACGACCTCTGTTCGAACCACAACACTGTAAATGCTTCACCCACGTACTTCAAATACAACTAATCGCCAACAGAACCTAAACACCTAACTTAACCTACACCTAACTATACATATAGCTTTAATATATAATAATATTAAGATATAAATAAGTAACCGATTCTCGTGTTTAGATAGTACTTTTTGTAACTATGTGCACCATAGTACAAATATTGACGTACTAACCAATTAGATAGAATTTTGTACTATTTACTTTGTATTACTTTAAAAAATGAAGCTAAAAAAAACTTAAATATTCCTAGGCCTAGTATAGCACACACACATGTACTATATTAGGCCTCAGGTAGCTTATATTAGGCCTAGGAAGGTTAATTTAGTTTGTCTTTGCAACATAGAAACCCGTTTTCTGGTTTGTCTAAAGTCAAGAGTACCGATTTCTACTTTCTAAGTGCGTTGTACGTCAGTATATGTACTGTGGTCCTCGTCATTCCTATAAGTACTATCAAAACAGGAGGATGGGCTGAAATAAGAATATTCCTGTTTTTAATCAACAATATATTAATTTTATGAATGTGTCCTGTGGTCTGACCACAGCTTTAACGAGCCTGGCCTCAAGACGGGTTGATGTTCAGAGCCTCAAGACGGGTTGATGTTCAGAGCCTCAAGACGGGTTGATGAGGATGGACTGAATGTGGAACTCTATTTCTTTCTTCAGCCGTCGCGTGGGTGATATTTGCAGTTGAGTGGTAAGATGTAAAAATAATTATAAGAATAACATAAATAAATACCAAATATTTTTATATTAATAATACTCGTGTTAATAATATTAACTAGTATATATAAACATATAATGACTATTACAAATGATAAAATTAATTAATTATTCAAGTTTCCTTTATTATCATCAGTTAAGTGTTGCCATTGGGTGAGAATATTTTTAACTATAGTTTCTTCGTAATTCATTGGAATTATTACAAATGTACACTAGGCCTATATAACACGATATATTTTCATATTACACACAAATATCATATAAACGATATATCACTGTGGTCTTAAATCATATAATTCAGTAAGCGATACATTTTCATGCACTTTAGACCTATTTTATAAACATTTAACAAATTCCTATTAGACGGTTCAGAGGCGTCGATACCTTAGGGTACTCGCAGGTGTCTCCAGGTGTTGTGATTGGTGGAGCACCTGTCCTCTGGTGGGGCTGGGCCCCTGCACCCACCCGTCCTCAGGTGGGGCTGGGCCCCTGCACCCACCCGTCCTCAGATGGGGCTGGGCCCCTGCACCCACCCGTCCTCAGGTGGGGCTGGCCCCTACACCCACCCGTCCTCAGGTGGGGCTGGCCCCTACACCCACCCGTCCTCAGGTGGGGCTGGCCCTACACCCACCCGTCCTCAGGTGGGGCTGGGCCCTGAACCCACCCGTCCTCAGGTGGGGCTCTATGTATATTCAAAATATTGTTTTCTTCAAATATATGTTATTGTATTAGAGTAGAACTTTATGCTTAGTTAAGTGTAGGTGTTTAGGTTCTGTTGGGAATTATTTCCAGTCGTAGTACGTGGGTGAATTACTCACAGACTTGCAGGTCGAGCAGATGGTGTGAGGAAAACACTGTTCGAGAAACTTTCGAACGTCTTCAGCTGTGGTCGCGAGTAAAGCAGCCTCTCCTCATCAACAAAGGCTAAATGTTCATGCCATGTAGCCGCCAAGTCCCCTGTTTATGAATGAAAAAGCTGCTTCAAACACGACTCACAACTGATGATCTTCGAACATTTCTCGAAAAGTGCTTCGACATGTGTTCACTCGCACCTCTGTAACTGCTTCACCCACGTACTACATTTTATATATATATATATATATATATATATATATATATATATATATATATATATATATATATATATATATATATATATATATAATTGCCAACTGACCCTAAACACCTAACTTAACTTACGCCTAATACGCACGATATGTTAGTGTATAATAATGTTATAGTTGAGGAAATTAATATTTTGAATGAACAGCTTGATCAAATCTATTAATGTACCATTTGAGGTGGGCGGGTGGGAGGTGTGAACAGCCTGAGGACGGGTAAAGTGTACTTTGTCTCTACAAATTCTCCGGGACCTCTGTGGAAGCACTCCGGACATCTCGTATGTCACTATTACTCGTATCTCACTCGTATGTGAGAAAGAACATGTCGAACATGTATGTATGAACACCAGTTGTGAGTCATGTGTAAATAGTTTTATTTAGTAAATAGTTTTAAATAATTTGGTCATTGTTGATAAGGACGGGCTGGTATCCTTCACACATTCACATCAATAATGCTCAGTAATGCTTCGAAACTATGAACTATAGAGATAGTACTCCAAAGGTATTTACGGACCTCAAGACCATCATTTAGGTTGAGACTCAATAACCATTACATGTAGGAAACGGCCTATATTTCCTCGTAATTGTAGGTCATTATTTCTTTGGTTTCATCATAGCTGCGAAGAGATCTAATTTATGTACAGTTCATATGTTGCAAAGCTATTTGCCTCATTCTAACAGTTGCCTTGCAAGTTTCTATGTTTCATGTGACTTAATTATGACTAGATAACCTTATACAAGTGTGGCACTCAAGACTTGTTGTGATCTCTGGACCACGCAGCGAGGACGGTGACCACGGCCGCTGCTCCTCATCATCACTCCCAACTACATATACAAAAAATCATTTTATGCCGTAATCTGATTTGTTGATTCACCTTGCGCAGTCCAGTCGCGTTGATTGGCTTCAATATGCCTGGCATTAACGAGAGCGCAGGCAAGCATGTAGATAAACGATATATATATATATATATATATATATATATATATATATATATATATATATATATATATATATATATATATATAAAATATCGTTTATTTATATGCTCTCATATATAATATATCTTATTTATCTAGATGCTTGCCTGCACTCTCATTAATGCCAATCATATTATATCCAATCAAAGCGATTGACTGTTTATATTTATCACAACCAGACATAATCTCTGAGCATTCCTAGACTAATCTAACAGTTTCCATCTTAACCTAAACATCATGGCTTCGGGAGAGTCACTCATGCCATGTCATCAACCCGTTCTCCTAGCAGGGCGTCGCCTTTTGACATATACTTTACGTAAGGCCAAACATTGGCGTACTAGAAAATGGTATCGGCTCACGATATTAACATTTTGCCCCGTTTTCTCTTTTGGTTCCTCCGGTAGGTTAGGAGCGGGCACTAAGTACGACAGTTTCTTGACGGTGGGAAACTTTAGGAGGACGGGCTGGCGTGTCGACTCCCAGAAAGCCTCGGCTACACACACAAACTAAAAAAAAAGTGGTAGAATGGATTACAATATTTGTTGTAAATTGGGGGAATATATTGATCAGTGATGGTGTTTGGTGATCATTGACGGTGTTTATTGATCAGTGACGAGCTGTTCGTTGATCAGTGTTAAGAACAGTGTTACATTCACTACGCAAAAGTGATATTTCTGGAGTTGGTCAAGAAGTCACTGTTGAGGAATAATTATAATTTACTGCTTTGAAGTTATTATTTTCGTTCTTCGTGTTACTTTGTCTTAGAAGAAAGTGAGTGAATGTAAACAATATGTTATCGTGATATCTCATTTACCTGTTATCGTCTCTTATTCTTTGTTTTCTGTTATGATTATATTTATGTCGTGTTGATCAGGTAGCATGCACGCGTGGTACACACATGACGCATGGACTAGTACACATGACGCATGGACTAGTACACATAACGCATGGACTAGTACACATGACGCATGGACTAGTACACATGACGCATGGACTAGTACACATGACGCATGGACTAGTACACATGACGCATGGACTAGTACACATGACGTGTGGACAAGTACACGTGACGCATGGACTAGTACACATGACGCATGGACTAGTACACATGATGCATGGACTAGTACACATGACGCATGGACTAGTACACATGACGTGTGGACAAGTACACGTGACGCATGGACTAGTACACATGACGCATGGACTAGTACACATGATGCATGGACTAGTACACACATGACGCATGGACTAGTACACACATGATGCATGGACTAGTACACATGACGCATGGACTAGTACACACATGATGCATGGACTAGTACACATGACGCATGGACTAGTACACACATGACGCATGGACTAGTACACATGAGATGTGAACTTGTAAACACGTCCTCACCTACACTGCTCACCTAGTGTAGCAGCCCCCCGCCTGCACCCAGCATCATTCTCACCCAACTACACCCGCCACACACCACCACCACCCACCTGTACCCACCTGTACCCAAAGTCACACATCCAGCACCTGCCTACAGCGATACTCACGCACCGATACCTATTATGACTCGCCCCACACTCACGGTCACCCACACCCGTCATCACCCACCCACACCCGTCATCACCCACCCACACCTGGTCATCACCCACCCAGAAGTGTGCTGTGTCCATTACCACCCACACACTCATACTATCAACAAATCACAATAATTATTACTTGTCTACCTTCCTAATTCATAGGCAATTCATGATAGTTACTCAGAACATAAAAGGCTGTCTGACATAATATAGAAATCACAGTCAAGTAAGCAAGTTATTTTCTATAATACCTCTTGTGTTTAATACTATTTATTTACAAGGTATAATCAGCAACATAGCTTGAAAGACAATATTCACCTTTTCACACACACACACCTGTCTCACTATCTCTTAACTGATGTCATGTCCTGGCAACCTTTTCTTATTGTACAAATATTTGCCATTTTTTCAACTTGCCCAATTTCATTTGACACAATATACACTATATATATATATATATATATATATATATATATATATATATATATATATATATATATATATATATATATATTAATATGTAGTCACTGACATACATATTCCAGAGTGGAGAGTGTAGCCAACAAGAGTGTGATGTTGACACAAACAAGAGCACACAAGACATCAGTGGGTTGGTTGCTCTTCGTGGCCGCCCGGATGAAAGGTAATATGAGTGACCCGCGACACCGCGGCATAGAGAAGATCAACCCAGGTCAGACAAAGTTACCAGAGGTTACGAAAGGTCACTCGAGACTACGAATGGACACCCGAGGCCGCACAGTTTGGCGGAACACGCAAGGCGATGAGAGCAGTAACGTCCTATCCTTCCCTTCCTTCCCTCTCTATAGTCCCTCCATCCCATCGCCTCAATTTGCTGATTCCGGATTAGGACGAATACGACGCCTTCAGAGTGCCACGTCGCTGCCCAGGCAAGTTGCACAGCCTTAAAGACTATAAAGTGCCATATACCACAAAGTGCCGGTAGAAGGCCTCAAGGCAATGTACCAGAACCATACACACTTTGCCACGCGCAGTGACTGCCGTTGAAAGTGTCTGCCAGGTTATGGTGGCAAACACGGCCTTGGAGATCTTCTGTCAAGAATGCCAGCAGGTAGACCTGCCACAGACAGTGGCACCACAACAGCAAAGACGGTTATTAACAGGTAGGAAGAGAGGGTAGTTGGAGGTCGGTCGGTTGCTAATTATGCAGACTGGTAGGCTGGCAGGCAGGCTGGCAGGCAGGCAGGCTGGCAGACTGGCAGGCTGGCAGGAAAAGAGGCTACACATAGGTTGCCTGACTTCTGTGCCTTCCCCAGCACCACCACCAGCCGCAGCAGCAGTGACAACAAGACGACGAGGGCGGCGAGGGTGACCGACAGCTGGCTGAGGGGGCGGCCAACTAGTCGGAGGTGGAAGATCATCTGGGCTTCTTCTTGCTGGTCTTGGAGAGGCGCCGCTGCTTGTGGATCATCTCGTACAGGTGCTCGAGGGCGTCGTCCAGACCCTCGCCCGTGATGGCACACGCCGGCTGCCGGACACACACATCAGGTGATTTATTACATAATAAAAGAGAGAGAAAGAGATAGAAATGATACGTGATAACAAGACCATCAGTTATCTTTACTTATTCCCATTGACAAGATTAAGGCACAACACTACAGGTGATTACGGAGGCACACACACACACACACACACACACACACACACACACACACACACACACACACACACACACACACACACACACACACACACACACACACACAGGATAACAGGCACCAAACTCCAAACTGACGAACATCACAGATGACTCATTAATATGTAGACTGAGGCCAGGCGTCTCAAACATTTATACAACCACGAACGAAGCTTCTACATCTTTTCTCAATCATTGAGGCTTTGTTTATATTTATTAAGCATTTTTATAAGCTCCGAACCACTATTGTTTATAACAATAACCTTGGATTGGAAAATTTCGAAGCTCGTAACTGTTTAATAAGTATACTATATATATGTATGGTGACTATTGATAATTTTCTTATGGATGTTTTCTGTTCTACGCGAATACCTTCTCCATCTGGAGGGTGAAGGAACGCTAGATCACTTAATCTCTCCATGTTATTGTTCGACGTTTCGTCAGCAATGTGACATCTTCAGGAATACACAATAGACACATGTTGTTTTAAATTAAGCAACTCGGAACAAAAAGTTGCAAGTAGCACAGGCTATGGTGAACCCATAGAGGACTTACCAGGCACAGGAGTTAAATTCCAAAACCTCTTGATTCCCCCAATTCTCCCCCACCTAATCACAATGGCAACAGCTTCCAGTAAATGGGTCCCTTGCTCACCGTGGATAATGATGTTTAATGACAGTTAATTACGAGCTAACTGGGTCGTTAAGTGACTACAGTAACGGGTAATGGTGATTAGATATTAATTAATAACGGTGGTGAAGGTGATAGTGCGTGGTTAATGATAACGGTGGGTATAATGGTGGCTTTGATGGTGATTATGGTGACGATATGGTAGTGATGATGGTGGTGGTGGAGACCATGGTAGTAATGGAGGAGACCATGGTGGTGATGTTGGTGATGGTGGAGGCCATGGTTGTGATTGTGGAGACCATGGTAGTGATGGTGGAGACCATGGTGGTGATGTTGGTGATGGTGGAGGCCATGGTTGTGATTGTGGAGACCATGGTAGTGATGGTGGTGGTAGAGACTAGGGTAGTGATGGTGGTGGTGGAGACCATGGTAGTGATGGTGATTGTGGAGACCATGGTAGTGATGGTGGTGGTGGAGACCATGGTAGTGATGGTGGTGGTGGAGACCATGGTAGTGATGGTGGTGGAGACCATGGTAGTGATGGTGGTGGAGACCATGGTAGTGATGGTGATGGTGGAGACCATGGTAGTGATGGTGGTGGTGGTGGAGACCATGGTAGTGATGATGGTGGTGGTGGAGACCATGGTAGTGATGGTGGTGGTGGTGGAGACCATGGTAGTAGCCTCCCGGCACCCTTGACGTACCTGTATATGCCACAGATGAGTGTTGCCCAGCTCGGAGATGCCCAGGAGTCTCTCTATCTCTATGGGGTCCTTCGCCCCGGGCAGGTCCTGCTTGTTGGCCAGCACCAGTATTGGCACCTGAGGAGAGGCAGGTCTGCGTGAGAGGCAGGTCTGGGTGAGAGGCAGGTCTGCGTGAGAGGCAGGTCTAGGTGAGAGGCAGGTCTGGGTGAGAGGCAGGTCTGGGGTGAGAGGCAGGTCTGGGTGAGAGGCAGGTCTGGGTGAGAGGCAGGTCTGGGTGAGAGGCAGGTCTGGGTGAGAGGCAGGGGAAGTCAAGGTGTCTACACCCACACATACACTTGTATCTACACCACGCTTCAAAACTATGCTTATACCTACACCTCTGCTCTCTCATCCACGCCCATGTCAACACATACGCCCATGTGTACACCCACGCCCATATCTACACCCACGCCCATATCTACACCCACGCCCATATCTACACCCACGCCCATATCTACACCCACGCCCTTATCTACAACCACCCCAATACTCCACACACCTGCGCATTCTCCGGCAATTTGGCAGTTTTGTAGAGCTCACATCTGGCCTCCTCCAGCCTCTCCAGGTCGACGGAGTCCACCACGAAGACGATGCCGTCGGTGCAGCGCGTGTAGGACCTCCACAGTGGGCGGATCTTCTCCTGGCCGCCCACGTCCCAGATGAGGAAGCTGGTGCCCTGAGACAAGAAAGAAGACATGTTATACAACAGGGAGATAACAGACATTGGCAACTGTTTAGAACATATTATAGACGTGTGTGCGGAACTGGTAGGAGCCAGTTTATTTATTTAAAATGTTTATTTAAATATTTAATGTTTATTTCCACAGAAGTGTGGATGACAATTTATATGGCGTGGACGTGGATCACTAATTCCTCTCAGCTTCAGTAGTAGTCAAGGAAAGTCAACAATTCCAGCTTGGCTGTAGTAGTTGTTTCTGGAATGTTTCCTTATTAAGATCACTCAATAGCTCGGTAGTTAAAGCTTCGGCCTCACACACGTGGGGGCCGCGGTTCGAGTCTCCTAGAGCCCCGGTGAATGGAATACCTTCAGTTTTTTATATATAAATTAGGGTTTGTATCTCAGAAAGGTTACTTGATTCTGTTTCAAGTGAGAGAATTATGTCATTGATATCTGTGGAGTTGGTGGTTGATGATGGATGAAAGTTGGTGGTTGATGATGGATGACACAGTTGGTGGTTGATGATGGATGACACAGTTGGTGGTTGATGATGGATGACACAGTTGGTGGTTGATGATGGATGACACAGTTGGTGGTTGATGATGGATGACACAGTTGGTGGTTGATGATGGATGACACAGTTGGTGGTTGATGATGGATGACACAGTTGGTGGTTGATGATGGATGACACAGTTGGTGGTTGATGATGGATGACACAGTTGGTGGTTGATGATGGATGACACAGTTGATGGTTGATGATGGATGACACAGTTGGTGGTTGATGATGGATGACACAGTTGGTGGTTGATGATGGATGACACAGTTGGTGGTTGATGATGGATGACACAGTTGATGGTTGATGATGGATGACACAGTTGGTGGTTGATGATGGATGACACAGTTGGTGGTTGATGATGGATGACACAGTTGGTGGTTGATGATGGATGACACAGTTGGTGGTTGATGATGGATGACACAGTTGGTGGTTGATGATGGATGACACAGTTGGTGGTTGATGATGGATGACACAGTTGGTGGTTGATGATGGATGACACAGTTGGTGGTTGATGATGGATGACACAGTTGGTGGTTGATGATGGATGACACAGTTGATGGTTGATGATGGATGACACAGTTGGTGGTTGATGATGGATGACACAGTTGGTGGTTGATGATGGATGACACAGTTGGTGGTTGATGATGGATGACACAGTTGATGGTTGATGATGGATGACACAGTTGGTGGTTGATGATGGATGACACAGTTGGTGGTTGATGATGGATGACACAGTTGGTGGTTGATGATGGATGACACAGTTGGTGGTTGATGATGGATGACACAGTTGGTGGTTGATGATGGATGACACAGTTGGTGGTTGATGATGGATGACACAGTTGGTGGTTGATGATGGATGACACAGTTGGTGGTTGATGATGGATGACACAGTTGGTGGTTGATGATGGATGACACAGTTGGTGGTTGATGATGGATGACACAGTTGGTGGTTGATGATGGATGACACAGTTGGTGGTTGATGATGGATGACACAGTTGGTGGTTGATAACTGGATGAGTGTGATTGACATGAAGTGTTTATATTTTCTTCAGTTTTAGTGTCACTACTTTCTATTATTTATATAGACATATACAAATTGGTTTCCAAGAGCACCTGCTATTTGAGTGTAACCTAATCACTCAACTATCACAATGTTCATATTGCAACATATTTTCAAGAGATCAACTGGTCCTCAATTTGTTGGTCCATATCAATATGTTAAACACCCCTAATCAGCACAAGTAAAGTACTCTTGAAGTGTACTCATGATATCCACTCACTCGGCCAGCCCACTCCAGTCAGAGATGTTGTTTGTCTTCCTGTATTTCTTGACGTATTCTCGTCTTGATGCTTGGCCTAGATACTATAGACCCCTTATGCTCCTGTCCACCTTCTCACCTTGTAGCTGCCTCTGACACCAAATGTAACATCCTCTCCCGCATGGTCCACCAGGCTGTTGCTTGGAGCGGCCCGCAGGCCCACATATCCACCACAGCCCGGTTGGTCCGGCACTTCTTGGAGGAAACAATCTAGTTTCCTATTGAAGATGTCCACGGTTGTTCCGGCAATATTTCAATTCTGTCCTCTCGCAAATTGTCCATTTATGCAACACACAACTTCCTTCCATTGGCCTATTTTCAGTGGAACCTTACGTAAAATATACTAATATTATTTTGGTTTACAACACTAACCATTGTCTCCTCCCTCTCCTTCCTGTCACTGCCTCCCTCCCTTTTACGTTCTTTCACTGCCTCCTCCTGTTATTGTCTTTCCTTTTCGTCTTACTCTCTCGCCATCCATCATTGGTTCATCTCTCTTACTGTTCCCTCCTCCCTCTTCATCTCGAGCATCGTGCTGATGCAGAAGACAGTGGGTCGTCATTTACCTTAGACGGAGGCAGTTTGCTTGTCGCATCAGACCAGTGTTGGCAAAGTTATGGCAAGAGAACCCAGCCTGGATATGGTTTCTTTTCCAGGCTAGTAGATAGGGCATTGCTTTGTTGTGGTTGTTTATGTTCTGTGTTGGGTGATTGTTGTTGTTGCAGCTGACATTGTTATTGTTGGTGATTGTTGGTGATTGTTGAAAATAGTGGTGGAAATGTATCTGCTTATTGCTGTAGGAAGGTGTGGTGCAGCTTATAATGGAAATAGTTGTTTTGGATAATGGCATTAGTAGTATTATGTTGGGGGAGGGCCATGGTCTGTATTTTATATTTTAAAAACCATAAAACTCAATGAAACTATAATAAATCTTTCATTTGTACTTCCATATCCACAACAAATTATTGGTGGCAGCGGTGGGATTCACCATATTACAGCTTCAATGCCATGATCATTTCTTTCCCACTCATTACAGTACTGTAATGAAGTACTGGTCATTACAGTACTGGTAGTCATTACCAGTAGTGTAATGGTCCCACTCAATACAGTACTACCAGGCCCAGGCCCCGGGGTCGCTGAGCCCCAAAATCACCTCAAGGTAAGTTACTATGCCGTACATGAAGAACCACACCCTCACAACCATAAAAAAATTATAATAGGCCTCCATATATATATATAAAGCCCCATTCCGTTTTTAGCCCTGTTGCATAGCTCTAAGCTTTCTTAGCCTCGTTACTTAGCTCTAAACATTTTTCTAATTACGCTTGAATTCTTTCGGTCAGAGATCATCGTATATTTATTCGACATAAGTCGTGCCAAGTGAGAAAATCTGTAGGAACAATGATGAGGGTTCGAATGTATGCGGTGGATTGCAACCTGGAGTTCTAGAACGCCAGGTTGCAATCATTATTACCATGTCGTGGTCTAGTCGCTAGAAGCGTGTGCGTGGGAACGCATAGGTTCGAACCCACTGCGCCTACGGATTTTCTCATTGATGCAGTCACGTTAATGTGATTACTGTGGTGGCGAGCACTGTGCAGGCCTCTCCCTCCAGGCTCCCTACGCTGGTGTTATTAGTGGCAGTGTTGCACGTGTTGCTGACGTGTTGCACGTGTTGCTGACGTGTTGCACGTGTTGCTGACATGACATGTTTGTCTCCTGTCTGTCTCACCAGACAAACTTTGTCTCACTTCCCACATAACACTCCAATAGGTTTGCTATGCATGTCTTGCCTTCTTGGCATCCATGCTGGTGTTTGCAGACAAGGTTTGCACCCTCCATGTGATGCAGTCATTTCCTTCTCATTATTTTCTCTAGTATCTTGCAAATAATGAATGCGAGTAACACCTGTATTTAGTAGCTCATGTCTTTATCCTTTTCTAATATAAGTACAGCTGTCTTCCATTACTTTGGGCTTGTCCCTTTGTCTCACGACGTGGTCCAGATTATTTCTAGTTGTCTTCTCAGCTCTTCAACTCTTTCTTGAGGGTGCACGAAGATATTTGATCGCGTCTCTGTGATTTTGTCTCATCCGGCTCCTCCATTTCCTTCCACTGGTTATCTTGAGCCGCGGCCCGGTCCTCGACCAGGCCTCCACCCCCAGGAAGCAGCCCGTGACAGCTGACTAACACCCAGGTACCTATTTTACTGCTAGGTAACAGGGGCATAGGGTGAAAGAAACTCTGCCCATTGTTTCTTGCCGGCGCCTGGGATCGAACCCAGGACCACAGGATCACAAGTCCCGCGTGCTGTCCGCTCGGCCGACCGGCTCCCGACCGGCTCCACATGTACTGCGTATCCTGTCGACTGTTTGTAATTGATCTTTGTATTTGGTGGTAACACAAGATCTGTGCTGACAACTTCCTGAAATATTTCATTTAAATATTTCATACAAAACACATTTCCAAGTAATTGTCTACATGTACATCAACTCTTCTTTAGCTTATTCCCACCTTCACAGCCTCTCATCTCCCCTCCTATCCTCACCTCTCTCTCTATCCACACCCCTCCTCTCGCCCTCCCCCCAACCATCCAGGCCCTCCCCTCAGCCCACCCCCCAACCATCCAGGACCTCCCCTCACCCCCCCCAACCATCCAGACCCTCCCCTCACCCCCCCCCCAACTATCCAGGCCCTCCCCTCACCCCCCCACCCCCCAACCATCCAGGCCCTCCCCTCACCCCCCCAACCATCCAGACCCTCCCCTCACCCCCCAACCATCCAGACCCTCCCCTCACCCCCCAACCATCCAGACCCTCCCCTCACCCCCCAACCATCCAGACCCTCCCCTCACCCCCCAACCATCCAGACCCTCCACTTACCTCAACACCCATTATATACTTTATGAGGGAGCGTGTGAAAGCATCAGGGAGAGGAAAGTGGGCAGAGGAAAGGGGAAGGGAAGGGAGCAAGTGATGGAAAGGGCCATGAGACGAGGAAATGGTAGAGTGCATGATAATAAAGGAAGGGGAGGCAGGAAGGGAAAGGAGGGGAAAGAGAGGTGGGGGGAAAACAGAGAGAGGGTGGAGAGAGAGAGAGAGAGAGAGAGAGAGAGAGAGAGAG